TGCACACTGGGCCTGTTTGTTTGTTTTTTTTCTCTCTCTTTTTCTTTTTTTTTTTTTTTTTTTTTTTTTTTTATCGTGCACAGGGCGCAACTCCCTCAGCGCGCGCTCAGCTCACAGCGGACCGCACTGGGTACTGCGCACAGCGCACGGCGCACAGTGCGCACGTTGTCGTTCCAGCGCACAGCGCAGTGCGCACCGCCCCGCACCGCACTGCGCACTGGTGCGCCGCAACTATGATATGTAGGCTTCAGCCTCCTGATGAGTCGGTGAAACTCCGATAACAGTTTGTCACAGCCCCTCGTTTGTTGCCCTCTTCTCCCTCTCTGCCTATGGTTTACCCGGCGGTCCTGTTTGACCATTTGTACATATTGACATCAGATATATATAATATATAAGTCACGCTCAACTACATGGAAGTGGAGAGCCTTGTATGTGATGAGGCACAATGAAGGGGGAGGAAAAAGAAGAAATAAACGAGAAAGCAAGGGGGGAAAAAAACAGAAGGAAAGAGAAGAAAGAACTGCACAGGAAAAGGCAAAAGAACAATTTCAGTGCGCGTCATGTTGTGTGCATAAATGCGGCGCACCTCGGTGCGCAGACTTGCGCACCGCACCGCGCACCGCACCAGAAAAATTAAGGTCAAAAAAAAAAAAAAAAAAAGTAGGGGTTCCGTAATTTCCTACGGCACCCTCCCTGAAAAAAATGTCCAACTCACCGCGCGAGTTCGGAAAATGTCTGCGCCCCTTGGACCAAAAAAAATTTTTTGGGCAAGCGTTGCCGAATTCTGAATTCTGCAGGCTGCTACCCCACAAATTTCAAAATTGCTGATTATGAAAATAGTACTCATTGAGAATTTGAGAGTCTAGGTTTTCCTTTTTGGGTGGGGTAAGATAACTGGGCTTCCCCTTTCCTTCTGCAAATTCCATGCAGAGGTGGACAAATTTTCAAAAAGGGTATCATTGCCCAGTACTGTCGTGTTCACGCTGTCTAGCAGATGGCACACGTAATGTTTGCCGAGTCCAGCCGACCACCAATACATGCTGTTTGGCATTCAGGTCTGCATGTCGGCAGTTTCGGGTTAGGAATAAGATGCCCGTAGCTCTCTCGTTTTTTCTTTTTGTTTTCTTCTGAATACGTACAGTGGCGGTGAAGATGCCTGTAGCTCTCTCGTTTTTTCCTTCTTGTCTTCTTCTGAATACGTACAGCGGCCCAAGGGGCCTCTGGCCACTACTTCTGGCCACTACTCACCACATCCACAAAAGGCATACCATATGACTAGATGACCCGTTGCAGCTTCGCCCGCAAAAACAGAAAAAGAAAAAAGCACAAAAGAAAGAAAACGCACAAGG